AAAAATATATATAACTTTATATAATTTATTGTATATAAATGAACATATTTTATATATAATTGTATATAATTATATATACATATAATTATATTACATATAATTATATAAAATTATATATGTATAAAATATTTAATTACATAAATAAATAAAAATATAAATAAGGACTTTCAATCTTAAAAACAATAATTAGAAAAAATTTAGAACAAGGCTAATAAGAGTCTAACGTTGTTGTAAGAGCGAAGAGTTAGGAGATGTGGATAAGACAACCTCTAACACTTGAGTATTATCTACATCTTCTAACTCTTACAACAGCATTAAACTCTCATTAGCCTTGTTTTAAATTTTTTCTAATTATTGTTTATAAAATATTTTTTCCCGAGTTACTTTAATTTTATATAAAACACGAAACAACTTATTAACTTTTTATTATATTTCTGAACATGAATTATCAAACCGAGCTTGAGTCATTTCGTATCAAAACGTTCACATTAACGTATAAATTTAATGTATAAATATACATTTACTAAACAAAATTTGAGCTAAATTGAATGACTTCCTGAGTTCAATATTATGGTTTTACTCTATTCTTATAGTAAATTAACGAAATATTGTATAAAAGCAGTGGCGACAATAATTGGAAATAGCAATAATTAGAAATAATTCAAACTGGGTGTAACGTGACATTATAAATGTAACAGTGCATGCACAATATATATTCAATAATAGGAAGATATCCAGGACTAAGTTTATTCTAATTTGTTCTAACTTATCCATTTTAAGACAACGGATGTATGGAATGCTATACATATATTTATCTGTATATTTTTATTAAATTAATGCATATATACATTTATAGATATGTAATATATTAATAAATTATCACACATCCGTTACCTCAATAAAAACATTAATTCGTCACTCACCAAACCGACGTGCAACAGCGGAGTTACATCTGCAACGTCGCTACGATGATTCTGTAACAAAAAAATATAAAATTTAAACAACAATTATAACAAACCAGGAAGGACACAAACAATATTTAAAAAAAAACGCAAAGTTCTCTTAAAATAATCGTATAATTTTCAAAATATATCATTTTTATAAGCATCGAATTTTGTAATTCATCATTGAGTTAGATATTTATAAAATAATTATACATTTTTTTTAAAACAAATCTTAAAAATTCGTATATGTGAAATTTCAAAATAAATTTAAAATAATCCTTTTTCTAATTATCAATTTTTAAATTATAGTAAAATAAAACGACTCAAGAAGAAATAGAAGAAAGACATTAATTTTACATAAGCAAAAAATATTTACCCCAAGGTTGCTCCGCTGATGCTCGATGCCTCTCCCAGACCTCCTCCTCCTCTCAGACTCGGGTTGACATCCTCAAGCACAGGACACTCGCGTTAAACACTCGCGAATAGTATACTATAAACGCGCGTGGACTATTTATTTATAAAGTCTTTCGCGCGACACTGCGGCACTCCACGTTTACAAAACCCATGATAAGATTTTTATTTCGATCGGTGGAATCAATACCACACATCGACGAGTACTTACGAAACACACGATGAATGCCGAACAAGGGTTAAGCCCCACACGAAAGAAGACGAAATCAATCGTATCGAGTCCGTCACCTCTGTTTTACGCAAAATCACATTTAAAATTGGCTCAGACATACGCCCTAACTGCTAGTTCTAATGGGACACGAGTGGTGCTGTACCACGAGCGATTCGAAAAGGCTGTTAGACGTGACAAGCGCCTCTAAG